CCTCCTTTCTCACCGCACTCCAGCCTTGCAGAGCAATGCACTGTTCGACAAATTAATGAGACGCTGCAGTCTCAGCTCACGGCAGAGGGGAGGAGGGAAATGTGTTTTGAGGTCCTGGTGCAGGTAGAGTTGCATGTTGCCATACACTGATTTGTATTTGGTTTAGCAGGGGAGCAGAGTCTGGCAGCAAATGTATTTCCAATTTTCATAATTCCTCTAAAATTTTACAGTGCAGTCAGCCTTGATATTGCAGAGCTTTTTTTTTTCCCCTCCCCTGCCATCAAAAGATACCATTTAGTCATGTAACTAACCTTTTACTTGGGATTTGTCTGCTGAATAAATTAGGTCAAACTTCCAGTATATTAAAGGAAAACTGCTGAAATGATGAGTCGCTTCTCTCAGGCAGACTGAGAGCAGAATTTAGCCCACCAGTTCTTGAAGGGAAGCAAAACTGTAAAGTCCAAATAAGAACAATGAAAACCCTAAGGGATCTGAGATCCCCAGGAAACCTGGGATGATCCCACATCATGATACAACTGAGCATTTATCCCACCGATTTAAGAGGTTTCCTTACAGGAAAGGCTGAAATTCTGATGTTAAAGGAAGACACTGTGCTATATCAGCAGCGTAACCACATGAGCTGCTGCAGCTCATAAAAGAATTTAAAAGCTCTAACGTTTAAGTTATGGAAGTACATCCCTGGGGAGGATGGCACATCCTGCTTTGTCCCAGAGATTTCCACAGAGACGTTAAGATTATATCATCCCCCGCTTTCTTGTATTGACAATTCTCCAGATGGTTCAGGAGCACAACTTCCTAGCAAGAGATAAGTTGCTGCCTGCCCAGAGGCAGCAAAAGGATGAGAGACATCAAATTTGGGTGCTTGGCTGTGACAGAGACTGTGGATGAGCTTCCAGAGAGACATTCTCTGCCTGGGGATCCTTGGAAAGGAGCCAGAAGCAGCAGGACCCTGTTGTCCACACCCTGAATCCAAACCTGAAGTTTCAAGCATCCATCATCTCTTCTTTTTGCTGAATATTTGTTGTTGCAGAAACTGCGGAGCTGGAATGAGGAGAGTCTCACTGCCAGCCCCACAGCCTGTCCTTCTGTTGACCAAAAAATAGTATGATGCAAGAGAGTTTCTCTCATGTTTTGTGACCGTGGACACATTTGTCTCCTGTGCTGTGTCATGCTCCTAGATGTATTCTGCATTAAGCAACTCGCTGTTAGTTTTTCACTTGAAAAGACCTTTAAACCCAAGCTGGTGGCTAAGGTGGCACTCAAGTAGCATAAAGAGCCTGCAAAGATGAACTCTAATAGCTGTGTCCTACTTCTGCTTAAAGTTTGAGTGCGGGGTGTGTTCACAGATCAGTACCAGAGCAACATTGTGTAAGTAAAGATCTGCTTTAATTAGGTTCTACTAACGCTGATACATACTTAACAACCGTTTGAGCACAGTCATTGTTTGCAAGAGAGGGAAGACGTGACTTCTAAACCTTCTTGTTTCACCGTTACATCTAAAACTGCCAGACGATGAATCCAGTGTTCTCATTTATGAAGGGACACAGACCAAAAAATTGACATGGATTTTTTAGACCTTAAGACCTGATTTTTTTTTTTAAACCTTAAAATTTGACTTTGATTTTCTAAACCATTGATTCTTCATTAAACCTGATTTTTGCTATTCACGTTTGGGGAGCCTATCTTAGTGCTACACCCTCTTCTGGAAGAATGTAGGGCTGTCTGGGTGGTGTTCATGTGCTTAAACTGGTTAGAGGTCAACTTGAGGTGGCAATCAGAGAACTGTTTCTAGACCCACAGAGGCCCTGGAGCTGTGAGGACACCAGCATCTCCCAGCAGGTATGGGAGAAGGCAGATGACCAGATGAGCTGGAAGATGGAGGCGGGACACATAGCGGAGGTGGCAGGTTCTGTAATGTGGCCGGCTGTGAGGCCATGCGTTGTCGCCACATGGTTTTGCCAACCAGCTGTCACTGTGCCGTCTGTGCGGACCTCATAGGGAGGAGAATGGGCTGAACAATTTTTGTGCCAGGAACTGTGGTTGCATTGAAATCCAACTGTTCCGCAGGAGCTCATCCAGTCTGATAACATCCTCAGTGGGGTTGTTAGAAAGAACGGTGCAGATTCTCCTCTTTCCTGTCAACGGCGTGAGAGAGAGATGGAGACAGGATTTTTTATTTTATTTTTATAGGGTGTTATCAGGATGTGCAATGTTGTCCATCTTCATTAAGGCTGGTGTCCTTAAGACACCCTGTAGACTTTTAGCAGCACCTGCTCAGGGGTCTGCCACAGAGCTTGATGTCCAACAAACCTGCTTGTTCTCAGCACTGGAGCAGGAGAGCTCAGGTTTCAGTCAGTGAGTCCCAGCTCTGGTGAGGAGGAGCAGAGGAGGAGCTTTCCTTCTTAGTTTTTTCTAGACAGTTTTAGGGTTTTTTTTTATTTTTATTCTTTGTTTTTATTTTTTTTACTTGAAAGAAAGGAAATCACTAAATCCAGCAAGTAAACAGAAGTCAGGGGAGGGAGCTGAGAATCCTGAAAGATGAGTGGGTGCTTGTAATACGTGATTAAATCCAAGGAAAAAGTCAGTATTGCTTTCACAAAATGCAGCCAGCCTCACAATCGTATGGGAGTGCTTGGAAGAAGTGAGCAAGTATGTGGATGGGAAGCACCTAGTTGATGTGGTCTGCTTGGATTTCTGAAAGGTTTTCAACATGGTCCCTCACAGCAGGGGCTTTTAACGAAACTGAATAGTCCTGAGTTAAGAAGGAAGATCCTTGTCTGAATAAATACTTGTCTAAAAGGTGAAATACAGGAGGGAAGTAGATGGCGAGTTACCACGTGGAAGAGATGTCAGCAATGCCCTTTACAGGGACAGGGGCTGGGATATGTGGGGTTCGATAAATCTCTAACTGGAAAAATTGTGAATTGTGAAGTGGTGGTATTTGCAGGTGAAACAAAGTTTAATCAGGGCGTGAAGGATAAGGTCTGACTTAAAGAATTGCAGAAAAGATTTTATGAGGCTCAGTGAGCATTAAAATGGAAGAAGACATTCAACTGTGAAGTGATGGAGTTTGGGGAAGATGGAGGGAACATAATTTCCTCATTTCATCCTATTTTCCTATCGAAAGCAGCGGACACTGAGCTAACCATTACCGCTCAGGAACGAGATCTTTGGATAGCGATAGGCAGTTCTGTGGAAAGGTCAGCTCGGTGCTAAGTGCCAATCAAAAGCAGCAAACCACGTTAGGGATTGTTATGAAAGGGAAGCAGGACAAAACACAGAACATCATTATGGCTTTATATAAATCCACAGTCCATTTACCTCTTGGAGATTTTTTGCAGTTTTGGTCCATCTCAGAGGCTCAGAAGAGCAGGAGGGGTGGCCAGGGGACAGCAATCACTTCTGCACAAGTAGGAAGCAAGTTGGTGAAGGCTCCTCAGCCTGACCAAGACATGACAAGGTGGCTGTTGGATGTGACAGAGATTAAAGAGCCCACCAGTGGCATTGAGAGAGTGGGTGGGGATTTCTTGCATGATGTCTCTTCCAATACAAGGACCAGAGGACACCAAGTGAAACTAGTTGGTAACAGGCTCAAAACAAACAAAAATAGGTGTTTCTTTGCGCAGTGTATAGCTGAGCTGTGGAAGTTGTTGCTGTAGGAGGTCACAAATGCTGAAAGTTTCCATGAAACACAGGGGAAACAGGACAACTTAATGACTTACAAGTCCTTGAAACCATCTTTAGAGGTAATTCTGGATCATAGGCTGCTGGGAGGAAAAACAGACATTGCTTAAATTTTGATACATGTTGCCTTGTTCTTATAATCCTCCTTGGCCATGTGACATAAGGCATAGTGGACTACTGGACGTTTATTCTGACCCATTCTCATACTGCGCTGAGCAGTGATGCCCTGGGGATGTGGGTTTGACCTGAGGGTACTGTGGAAGCCTAGCCCAGTCACAGGAGAAGCAGTGGTGTTCAAATGTAACAGTTTGATGCCTGGAAATATTTGTATAATTTTCTTTTCCCTGCAAGTTTTGCCTTTGTGTTCTGATTAGCCACACCAGTGAATTTTGTACTGCTAGAATTTTTGCAGCACATCAGTCCCACCTGCCCAGGTACCTGTGACACCACTTGGTCAAAGTCCGAGAACTGAGCTGTGGACCCAAGCACATGGATTTCCTCAATTTACAAGTCCCTCATTGCAGATTTGGGAGCATCCTCTCCCAGCTGGGCACAGAAGGGGACAAGAGTCTGAGGTCACTGCTGCACCTGAGATGCCTCAATTACTTGCCTCTAACTCCCTGTGTGGCTGCTGGCAGATCTGTACGGCCATTCAGACTGTAGGATGGAGCTGCCCACCACGGTAGTAAAAAGCTCTTAACTTCAGAGCCTCAAACAGTACCAGGACAACCCAGGGAAGAGCATGTACTGAATAGTGGGGTTACGAAAGCAGCCAGCCTAGGCAAACAGCCTCACCTGGTCTGTGGGTGGCAAAGATGATAATGGGAATATAGAATCGTAGAATGATTTGAGTTGGAAGAGACCTGAAAGACCATCTAGTTCCAACCCCCATATTTGGTGGACGTGGCATGCTGTTCAGTGGGATTTAGCAGAGCTGCTTTAATTTTGAGTTTTGGTTGCTTGCTTGTCCTCTCTCTACTCTCAGTGCTTTGATTTTTATTTTTTATTTTTTTTTGGGTCATGCTTCACCTGATGATGCATTTTCGTTCACAGGAGGGTTTTTAATTGCCATGAAGGACTTCAGCCAGCGCTGCATATTTATCCTCTCCCTCAGGATTTCAGACACTTCTAATGGACTAATAACCATGGGGCAGTGATGGCACAGACACAGCAGGGTGTGTGGATTTTTCTTGAATTAAATGAAGCATAAAGACCATTTCTGTTCTTCCTTTCATAGACCTACGAGTCGTGCATTAAAGTCCTTATTTATTTTTTCCCCCTTTTCTCTCTTTCAGATTTTAACAGTGGGAAGATGCTGATGGACAAAAATGAATCTTGGCTCTTGAATTTCTCCAATGCTGCCTCCTCCTTTGTGAAAGGAGGCGGCAACTGGCCAGGGATTGGCCTCCAGGAGGTGGCCATTGGGCTGATACTAACCCTCATTGACTTGATCACGCTCCTGGGAAATACGGTAGTCTTCATCTGCCCAGTGGTGGAAAAGAGGCTGCGCACTGTCACCTATATGTTTATCATGTCCTTAGCCATGGCAGATTTCCTTGTAGCTTGTCTGGTCATGCCCTTTAGGTAAGAAGTGCCTGTAAGGTAAGATCAGATGGCAGTGTGTGCATGCAACATCAATTCTCCTAGCTCAGCAGCCACTGTTTGAGCAGGGCTGGCGAGAAGGTGACGAGCTGTGTTTAGGGCTGGGCTCTCCAAAGAGCTTAACTGTGAGTCCCTGATTGGATGTGCTTCTGTGCCTCAGTTTCCCTACCCCAAATACCTTACCATTATAACATGTCCCGTTATAATGGATGGAGAGAGATTTCCCAAGGGTATTTTTCCTCTTGGCTATAGAGGGACTCTGGCTGCTGGTCTGAACTAGCTTATCCAGCTTTTAAGATGGCGCCGGTGTGGTAAGTCCCCTCTTCCAGGATTGGTTCTGCATTGCAGGTGGGGCCAACATCATTGCTAAATGATTTTTCATGCTCTGAGTGTTTGGGGAATGTGAGATGGGGACTGTCACTGGTGTGTCAGCATTAACTGTCATGACTGTGTTGATCCTAGGTAGAGCAAATCACAGAGTATATTTTTCCCTTATTTTTCTTAGTGAAGAATGACAGCGGAGTTAAATTCTGTGCTTCTGATTTTACACTTCTTTAACCTTATCTTTTATTTTCTGGCAGTGGGAGGGAGAAGTAACAAAGTTCCTTACTAATGTAAGAAAATGAATGTTTTCATATTACTGAACTTGAAAGGCGATTGCAGAGATGTTATCCTTCATACTCTTGGTGAAACACAGAATTTTGATTGTTCCTTCTGGTTCATACAACATAGCGGTGGAGTTTGTGTGGAAGGCTGGCGACCTTGTGAAATAAATCTTTTGCCTGCATAAACAGACCAGAAGAACTGCGGTCTGCAGTGGGATAACAAGCAGGATTCACTGTACCTGGGGGATTGTTTTTGCCCCTGTTACCTGACTGCACTGCGCATCGATAACTGGCAGTGTTGACGTGGGGACAAAGGCCATCATCTCCCCTCTCTCCGTGTAAATGTAAGGATTTTATTTTAGTATAAGTAGGGTAATTTAGGCTCCCCCTGTATTTAATGGAGGAAGAGGCACTCAAGAAGGCAGTTCTCCCTGCTTGCGGTTTATATTTACAGGAGCTTCACTATCTGGCTGAAACATAGTAAGACAAATAGAGAAACCAGTTTACTCATAGGTCTGACTGTCTTGTGCTGCAAAATGGCCGCAGGTTTGCGTAAAGCCGGGGGCTGCACCCTGTTTAGTGTTCTTGGAGCAATATGAAGCAGCTGAACTCTTTTTGCGTTTTGTGCCTTAGTTCTCACAGGGCTGCCTACGCTTTTGAATTTGGCACTGAATGATATTTTCCCAATAAGCAATTACAAACTGAGTTATAAATTTATAGTGTTGGGTGGAAAAAAAAAGCAGATAATGATGCCCTTTGAAAAAATATTACTGCCGATTTCACTTCTAATTCTTGCTGAATTTTTAAGTTCAGGTTCTGAAATCATCCTTCTGTGTTCACCTGTCTCTCCCTTCCACCTGATGCTACAAATCTCTGCCCGAGGGGTTTGGATTGCAGCTTAGTTGACGATGCTCTAACCTCCCCTACCCTATTAAAGTCAGTGGGAATGGGGGTTGTGACTTAACCAGGAGATTTGTGTTGCTGATTGTGGGGGTTTTGCTCTACACTGGAGAAAGATGGGATTGTGGAAGTGGCTTTTTGCCAAACAGGGGTCTCCAGGTTGGCTGATCTTGTTCCCTGAGGATCGCAAGCAGCTCCGAGCAGGTGTGTGGGTGAGGACTCGGCTGACACAGCTGCAGCAGTCTGGCTGTCTGCTTCCTTCCCCATTTCCAGCTACCAGGTTAAATTGGGCTGAAGCTGGGCTGCAACTGGGAATGGTGGAGTCTGTAGGGCTTGAGCTGGACTTGCCTATAAAACAACATGGTTCTCCCTGCCCTGCCCAGAGGGGATGCAGAAACGATCCCTGTGCTCCTGTTGACAGTAGCACACACTATTTTTTTCCCAAGAGCTCCGATGTTTCCCACTGCATGGACAAGGTCACAGCAAGAAAATGTGGCAGACCATTTCAGCATCCTAGAAAGAGAAAAACAGTGTGTCAGGCACCAAAGATTAGCTAAAGCAACAATCTTTCTGCTGCCTGGCATTTCCCTGGGCTATTTGTCTTCTCTTTTCCATGTTCTTGTTAAGACCAGAAATGAGGGGTTTTCATCCCAGTCCAGCCCAGGAGTCTCAAGTGCTCCTCTCTGGGACTGCACAGCATCACCTGCTCTTCCACCCACTCCAACCATCCCTCCAAGAGATAACCTTCTCCATTACCTGCATCTTACCCAGGAATGGCAGCACCCCCTTTGCTCAAAGAAGACAAAGGCCGAACAACTGCTGCTTTGGAGTGAGTTCCAGCTGATAATTGCTGTCACTGCTTCCTTTCCAAATTTGCTTAGTGTCTGCCTGGTGACTCCTCTGGTACCTCCATGTTCAGCTCATGCTTGGGAATCTCTGTCTTCAGTGTCTTCTTTTTCTTCTAAATGGAGTTTGGGCATTTCTAGTTACTCAGCATCCTCATTACTTCTGCCTCCCTCTGTGGTATTTGCGATCTGGGTGACGGGAGGGAGAGGTAGCAAAGAGCAAAGGCAAGTAGGTGTCTCAGCAGCTGTAATTTCCCCCTGTAAGACTGATGGCATCCCCCATAACTGGAATAAGACCTCTTCCTTGGGAAGGACAAAGAGGGAATTTGGCACTAGGTTTTACTCAAATAGACATGCAATGGAGAAGGAAATTGGACTATTCTTACTTCTAGGCTCCCAGGAAAGCATGAAAGGAATGAGAAGAAGCAGCTGAAAATATGTTTCATTGGGAAATCAATCTGTGGTTTCTCACACCCAACAAGAAAGGATAAGAAGGGCACAACAGGGATGAGGAGGGGACCACAGCTGTGAAGAATATGAGGGGAGAGGAAAGATCACAGAATCACAGAACAGTTTGTGTTGGAAGGGACTGTTAAAGGTCATCTAGTTCAACCTCCCCTGCAATGAGCAGGGACATCTTCAACTACATCAGGTTGCTCAGAGAACCCCTTCCAAACTGACCTTGGATGTTTCCAGGGATGAGGCATCTACCACTTCTCTGGGCAACCCGTGCCAGTGTTTCACCACCCTTATTGTAAAAAAAAGTCTTCCTTCTATCTAGTCTGAAACTACCCTATTTTAGTTTAAACCCATTACCCCTTGTCCTATTAAAGGATGGCAGAGGGTGTTACAAGGGAGGAAGGACATCCATGAAAAGGAATGGCTTCACTATGCAGCCAGAGAGAAAATAGCCCACCTAGGAGAGTGAGGTCTTATTTAACAAAACAAAAAAAAATATGAAGGGGAGCAAAGAGCAGAGCACTGTTGATGCTTTGTGCCCCTCCTGAATGCCCTGGTGGGCCACGTGGTGAGGAGCGGACCCTGCCGGCTCCGTCAGGTATTGTTCGGCCCTGCTGATGCGGTGGCTGTTGGTCCTCATCTTTCCCACTGTCTCAGCTTTGTATCTGTATTGCTCTTTTGAGTTGCAGTTTGCTCCTAAGTGGGCATGTTAGCACACGCCAAAAATAAAGAAAAGAAATGACCTTAAGAACCAGTTTGGATCAGGAAAAAGAGGTTTTGTGACAGAAAGGAAAAACAAGGTTGTCACCTGGTGCTTTAATGTCATAAGAGTAGGACTTCTGTTTTGTCCTTGGTTTTGCTTGTTTGCAGGAGCAGTTCAGCTGTGCTTAGCTTGTCATCCAGGTAGTCCAGCCAGCCCAGCTCTTTCCAGGCTGAATATTTTCAGCGACTCTTTTCTTTTGCAAGTGTAAGTGAAACACAGAGGTGACTTTACTTCTGCTCTTACTGTGTGTTTCTTTGGGCTTTTATTATTCCTTTTTAACCCATATAATTTCTAGACTGCAGAGACTTTCTACATCAGAGAAGAGGGAAGGGGTATCCACTACCCTGTGCTGTGAGAACATCTGTTAGGTCAGGTGCATCCCACCAGATGTGTGCTGATGAAAGCCAGGTACCTGCTTAGCTGGCATCTGTGTGCAGGGATGCTCATGACAGCAGCATGGTCTACTTCTGGAAGGACACGATGCTCACACCACAGGCTTTGGAACATCTCTGAAGATAAGGAGGACTTCTGAGGAGTGGCACCAAGACGCCGAACTCCGTTACTGGACCCATGCTTCAGCTTCTCTATGTCTCATTTTCTCATCTAGAAAAGAGCCACAAAACCTTTCCACGTGTGTGCAGCGGGACCCTCCATGCTGCCCATCTGGAGGCCACCACAGTATAGGGACAGGTTCTGCTGTAGATTAACGTTTGCTTGAATTTTTGTGTGGCATCCTGCATAAAAAAAAGCTGCTGAGGGCTGGAGCCCTTCAGCCAGCACTGTACCCACTTACATTAGTTGTGCTATAAAATAACCTTCATAAAGTCATTTTAATGAGTTGTTGCTAATTAGATGCAGAGAAGAGGTTGGTTTCTAACTCCTCTGACATCAAGTTGACTCTTTCTGCCCTTGCCGGGCGGCGTAGCCCACCTGAGTGCACTGCAGCACAGCAGCCCTACTCTCACTGTATTTGACCAGCAAGCTGTGAAGTTACAGGATAATTAAAGCTTTGCAGGACTAGGTAGTTACTCAGCCTTTCACATCAAATTCACACACAATAGTTATTTCAGCAGCACCCCAGGAGCTGCAGAAAGCTGGTGAAAGAAAGGGGAAGAGAATGGCATCTAATTGAATGCTATAGAAATATGCATCAGCCTTCCTACAGCTGCCATATGTTCCTTCCTTCGCTGCTCACTTCTTACAGGTCCCTCTTGAGTTTGTTAGAAATAATTTTGGCATAATGTCTGCTTTTTGCTGCTGTTTTTACCTCGCTGAGGCATTTGCGAGCTACATAACATACAAACCATATAGGCTTCCTCCTAGGTGTGTTTTTTTTTTTAACCAAGACTTGAAATCCTCCAGTCTTGAAGCATGAGACCAGATGAAAAGTGAGTTTCCTGGAGGAGGGAGCACTTTCCATGCCCTAGGAATTGGGGGGAATTTATAAAAGTCTGTGCTATGTAGGGCACTGGAAAGAGCTGTGATAAATAAAGCTGTACAGATGTAAATTTTGGGGGCTCTGGGGGCGGGCAAAGCACTTCCCTCAAGGCACTCACTTAGAGTGCAGGCAAGGAGCATAGGTTTGGTCTTATTCAGCTACGCTCCACCTGTGTGTTATTCCCTTGGGATGAACTTTGAGGATGAATCTCTGCTGCCTAACTGAGCCTTCCTCGGCTGCACATCCACCTTTAGTACCTCCACATTAAAATACAGCATTTCCTCAGTGGAGGCTTGAAGAAAGGCATTAAATCCATCCTTCTCGCTTTGTTTTCTACCCATTTTCTCTGGCAGTATCATTTATGAGGTGACAGGGATGTGGTTGTTCGGGAAGCTGTTCTGCAAAGTCTGGATCTCCTTTGATGTCATGTTCTGCACTGCGTCCATCGTCACATTGTGCTTCATTAGCCTGGACAGATACTGCTCTGTGGTGACCCCGTACCACTATTCAAGAAGGATGTCCCGTGGCAGGTGAGTGGAGTTGCTCCTCACTTTGGGTCCCTCCAAATTTTTACTTGCCATGGTCTATATTGACTGGGGACCAAATGAGCTATTGACAGCTGCTGCCCAAAAGCAGAGAGATGTGGCAAAAGGATCTTTGTGACATTTAAAACTTCGCAAAGAAAAATTTTAATACGGTGCGGGAGAAAAGGAGAATGCAGCTGAGCTGGTTTGATGGTGCTCCTGGGAAAGCACTTTTTGAGTTGAGGATGGATTGCAAAATGGGGTAGAAACCAGTGGTGTGGGCTGACTTGTACCTACAACTTCTGCCCTTTGTAGGCATTTCATGGGAATTTCCCCAAGGACTAGGGGAAATGGCACCCAGAAGAAAACACGTAGCAGTAGTCTTCTCCCTCTTAAACTCATGATACTCATGGGGGAAATAGAGAGAGTAAGTTTCTAAGCTCCTATCAAGGTTTCATGTGTAGCATTGAACTAAGGGCTGCTAGGTAGGGAAAGTTGTCTGAGGATGGGCAGAGAGGATGTTGCACCTGCAGTGTCCTGTACAAGGTGGATTCAGGCTCTTTTGGGGATGTTTTCCCCACTGCAACTCTTGCTGTGTACAATTTGTGGGGCTCAGGCAGTCACCAAAATGAGGAGGGGGCTGTGCAGCACGCCCTGTCGCAGAGCAAGCGCCGCAGTGGTACTGTCCATCAGCTCCACCTCTATTGCTCCTCAGAGGATAAGATAACAGCCAGATATTAAAGCTGAAAACAAACAGAAAAATCTACTTGCTGTTGTTTTAAATTTTAACAAAAATCCTCTGTAAAACCTTTTCTCTTTCTTCAGCCAGCTCTGAGCATTCCTTACACCAACACCAATTCTGTAAGCCACAGACCCAATTACCCAGTCATTAGAGATATTCACATATGGTCTTGTTGTACCCCAGCTTTTTCCCTGCTCGACCACTTCTCCAAGCCCTGTGGGACTGCTGAGCAGTGATATCCCACATGGGTTACCATGGGGATTGAATTGTACTGGGTGTTCTCAACTCAAAATAACTCAGACCCTCTCTTCCCTCCCCGCCGCCTCTTTCCTTTTGCAGATGCATTGTGATGACCTGCATGGTCTGGGTATACTCCTCCCTCATTTCCTTCCTTCCTGTCATGCAAGGCTGGAACGAGATCCCTGGGGTGGACTTTGATGCAGGCAGAGAATGCATCTTTGTCACCAACTGGATTTTCGCCATTGTGGCTTCTGCTCTGGCATTTTTCGTCCCCTTCATGGTCATGTGCAGCATGTATTTCTTCATCTACCGAGCTTCACGGCTCAAGGCCACTCGTATCATGTCTCAGACTCTGGAGATTCACTACCACCCCAAGAGCAAGCGGCAGAACCATCTGCAGCTGGAGAACAAGGCCACGCGGACCATTAGCATTATCATTTCAGTCTTCGTGCTGTGCTGGCTGCCGTACTTCGTCCTGAATGTCTGGCTCGCTGCCAGAGGCACCGAATCCACCAGCACGGTCTTGGTTGACACCTTCAAGATCATCACTTGGTTAGGGTATTGCAACTCTACCATCAACCCAATGCTCTATGCTTTCCTGAACCGGGACTTCCAACGGGCTCTGAAGAAGCTGCTCATTTGCAGGCACAGGTCTCAGGTGGACATTGGAGAAGACATGGTTTCCATAGCCACGTTCTCCAAGACTGCTCCAGACCTAGAATATAGCATTACAGTGCCAGTGCCCAATGGTGCCCCAAAGGGCAAACCCAAGTAGTAGGGATTCAGAATCAGTAGCTGGAGATGGTGGGACAGAAAGTGCCAGAGCACATCCTAATGGAAAAATAAGGGGTAGGAAATAGGGGAAGGAGGACCTGGAATATTACAGCTGGGGGCATACGACAAAGATCTATTTCTTCATCTTCCACAGTTTTATTAACAAGGAACTTTGATATTTTAGGGGTAATTTGTTACAATTAATGGAGTTAATTCCTTCCTGGGTAATTATTTTTTTAATGAGCATTTCCTAAGACAAATTCAATCTTCATGCTGGGAAAAAAAATCGGTATGATAATGTGAACTTGTCTTTGTGTACATCCCGGTGATCTACAATGAAAGGTGGGACAGTATTTCTTTGTTATCAAGCCACTGTAGCTCTCATCTTGCTGCTTACATTACAAATTTGAGTAGTTTTAGTAACTCCACATGTGTCAGTCTGTGTATGTGTGTTAGGAGGGATGTGGTCAAAGAGCAGAGGTCACCTCTTTACAAAGGCACTGCTCTGCAGCCTGGGCTGTCGCTCAGGGTTCAACTCACTTGATTCTGAAATAACAAGGGGTTCAGAGCTTTCAGTGGCTCTCTGTGAATTGTCTGTGAGCTTCCCTATTGAATAATTGAGCCAGCAATGTACCCCTGTGGCCAAGAAGGCCAATGGTATCCTGGGGTGCATTAAAACCAGCATGACCAGCAGGTCAAGGGAGATCATCCTTCCTCTCACCCTGCCCTGGTGAGGCCACATCTGGAGTACTGTGTCTAGTTTTGGGCTCCTCAGATCAAGACAGACAAGGAACTACTGGAAAGAGTCCAGCAGAGGGCTACAAAGATGATCAAGGGAATGGAGCACCTCTGTTATGAGGAAAGGCTGAAAGCCCTGGGTCTGTTCAGCCTGGAGAAGACTGAGAGGGGATCTCATCAATGCTTACAAATATCTAAAGGGCGGGTGTCAAGAGGATGGGGTCAGACTCTTTTCAGTGGTGCCCAGCGACAGGACAAGGGGCAATGGGTATAAACTGGAACACAGGAAATTCCATCTCGACGGGAAGAAAAACTTCTTTACTTTAAGGGTGACAGAGCACTGGAGTAGGCTGCCCAGAGGCTGTGGAGTCTCCTTCTCTGGAGATACTAAAAACCTGCCTGAAGGTGTTCCTGTCCAACCTGCTCTAGGTGACCCCTACTTTGGCAGGGGGTTGGACTAGATGATCTCCAAAGGTCCCTTCCAACCCCTACCATTCTGTGATTCGGGAAGGGAATATCCTATGTGGCAGAGCCCCGGAGACGAGGAAGCCTTGCTGTAACAGTAAAAGCACCAAGTGCCCAGAGGGTTCAAAGGGGGCTACAGGTGACCAAGACCCCCTGAAGAGGGGATGTGAAGAGGAATTATTACTTACTGCTGTGTTTTACACTGTGATGTCTATCCCCTGATGCTATGGGTGTAGCTATTGCTGGACCACACAGACATAAAAAAATTATGATAAACGGGAATGATTACTTCTACCACTCCCAAGGGCTTGTCTGGACTTTAAACAGCATCAAACAGCACCAGCTCCCTGCAGGAAAGCCACAGAGTACCTCATTGAAGGATTACCCTGAAAAGGCAGGATTGCTCCCAAACATCTCTGCAGCATCTAAACAGTGAGTAAAAGCAGGAGCTGAGTCCCCAGGACTACAGCTTTTCAGTAGCCGGGTCACATGAGGGCTAGTGACTGCTCAGACAACAACCATCACTTCCCCTGGCATAGTTCTGGTGGGGTCTCATGCTGGTTTTCATGGGAGAGTCACTGCGCCGAGGGCCTGCTCAGACTGATCTACAGTCTGAAGGGAACACTTCAAGGACGGTTTCTAAAATAGCTTTTTCTGAGCACCCAGTCACCCTCTTGGGAGAGGCAAGGCTTCTACAGCCTGAGAAGCAGAGCAAACGCAGCAGAAAGATAGCCAGGCTAACTTTTAATGCTAAAACTACTGGACTGAGGCATGCAGAGGGGTGAAGAATGTCACAATATTAACAAAGAAATAGAAAAAGGAGGTGGGTAGTAAAAGTCCTGAGTCCTTCTGCTTTTCCAGCTCAAAGGTAGCAGAGGAGGACTGCCCTCAGAGGTGTAGCAAAATGCAAGTAGCTACTGCCTGGAGCAGCTCAGCTACTGAAGACACCGGTACAAAGGTCAGAACTTCTCTCTCATTTAAGAGCCTGGTAGAAGAAACAGCCCTGACCTGGGGTTGCAACGCTGGTACTCCTGTCAAATGCCTCTTCATGGAATGGGTTGGGGCTCCCGGCTCCCTCAACTCCAATAACAACATTGAAATGGTAAGGAGAATAACTATCCTGCCCTTATTCTGGGGGAAGCACCTAGGTCCAGTGAGCACAAAAGTGGATGGGGCAGGATTCTTGCTCCTGGCACCCAGTTCATTTTGATAAAACAAGACAAGGAACTCTTGTTTCAGCCCCAAGAGCTATGGGGGGAAAGGAGCTGAGGGACAGGCTAGGACCACAGTGCTGCACAGTGCAGCAGAGCCCAAGACCAAAGCTCCCTTTGCAGGGCCGTAAGCTGGCAGCTCTCCTAGCCTCCATGTTTAGGCGTCCCTCTGCAAAAACACACCAGCAGGAGTGTACACACCAATTTCCATGGCCACAGGAAGACCCGAGACAGTCTGATAGGTGGTTTCTAGATGTTCATAAACTGAAAGAAGGCAAATAAACTTGTCTATGAGCCTGTAGATGTTCCTACCACCAGGGCTGTCATGTAAAAACCAGGATCTCCCGGACGAGGTGGAAAGCTGCTGCTGTAATCTGTAGAGAGCTGAGAAAAGCCTGCCTTCATTGCTTTCCCTTCCAGGATGTCAGCATAGAGCAAATGCACATTAGGTCAAAGACCTTTGGTCTTTCGGTCACGGTTGACCATTTGGTCTGAGTTGACTGAAGAACATCACCTGGCAGAAGGACAGGGATGGAACAGGGAATTGTAGTGTAATTAAAACCTGACTTAAAGAAGGAAAACATAGAAGGTGTATCCGTCTGGGTTGCCTGGTTCTGATGAGCTGGTAAAATAGTCCTGGAGCTGATGGGGGTGTTGAAGCCCAGGTAGATATTTCATAGCAGAGAAGTGTCTTCTTCCCCCACGTGTGGGGCAGAGTAAGTGGAGCTGCCGGAGGCAGGGAAAAGAGTGCTTGCAGGCAAGACCCGAGTTCAGAGGAAAACTTTCTTAGCTACACCCTGGAGCGAAAAGGAGCAAAGACAGGGACTGCCCGGTCCAGCATCCAGTGCTAAGAGAAGCAAAGACTCACTGACACGGGCAGTTAAGAGCTGAGCGTGGCCAGCTGCTTTTGTGGCTGGGCACACACCACACAGGGTAGGCTTTGTACCTGCCTTTGAGGATATGTGTAGCATCCGCAAATACGTAGACACACCTAGTGTGAACATGTAGGCCGTTTTCAGTACTGAAATGCTGCAGGGCTCTTGGAATAGGCAGCGACTTACATCCAGCACAGATATACAGCAAGTTAAAAATACTTTATCCTTCATTTCCTGTGTTCCATCTGTAATCACTGAACTGGCAGGGAAGCTGGAGAGGCTTCAAACGAGGCCATTTAACTGTGCGTTTATAGCTGATGCTAACAGGGAAATCCAAGAGAAGAGGACACACTTAACTGTCCTGTTTTAACCCAGCTGGACTCAATAGTTCTGTTTCTGACCAAATATTCACTGCAGCATTCTGGCTGCAACTGGACAAGCCAGTACCTAGGAGAGTTATCCAAGAGCACAAGGAAGACAATCTTTGTAATCTACTTTTGCTGTATCATAAGGCTGCAGAGTGTCTGCTGGTTTAATTGCTAGTCGTAGTATCACACCACAGTACAGTGATCCCCAGAAGGATCTGAATCCAGCATCTTTAAGAAATTTATTTCAGAGACTACAACTTCAAAAATTTAAGCCTGCAAAACAGGAAAGTGCATTTATGCAAAACCAGTTCCAATAGTGTAAGAATTATCTCTTCAAGACTTCCCTCTCTGTTAACAGCTGAGAGATTGCCTTCATAATGCACTCAGTCTAGAAGAGCTCAGTTCCCTTCTTTCTTCAGGTAGTATCTCGCTTCCAAGCAGCCATACGCACCTTGGCATCATCACCTGCACTGTGGCAAGTACGAGACAGAAAAGCAAAGCAAGTTACAGAAATGAAGCGCCCGTCCTCCTGTCCCAGCTGCACAATGCTGCCATCTGCAGCGTGCACTGATGCAGGTTCTGAACAGAAGCAACTACTATTTCTTTTTATAAATAAAAAAGTTTATTAAATCATTTAGACTTGAAAGAAGTCACAATAATTAATGCACTCAACAATTACAGCAAGTGCATTCTGTACACCACCAACCCAAATGGATTGATTCTGTATTTTATAAATAAAAATTAACATATTTACAATGAGAAATAAAAGCATGGCGTTAGGCAGTTAAATTAGCAGATTACACAAATGCCTACCAGTTGATTTTTTTTAAAAGTACAAATCTACAAGATTACATACGACACGTATGACTTCATCAGGTTTAAATTTTCAGAACCACAACATTTTTGTACATAATTTTTACTATGGCTCTTCCAATGACTGCCTATGTAAACCCCCCTTTTTTAATGGCAAAATTCTCCTTTTCCTTCTCTACAGATTTATCTGTATAAAATGCATTCTCTAAGATCTACTATAGTGCAGAAGTATGAAATGATTTCCTCTAATGAATGGCTATGGAGAGTGACAGTATGTACAACTGTGGTACTTTTTTGCTTTAAAAATAGTGCATATTCCCAGTTTACCCACCAGGGACAAAAATGGAGTCATAGTTCATTTCAAAATCATCTTCATTTCACCAAAGAGCAAGTGATCCAGATAGACACTCACTAGGCTTAGAGACTGTAATTTGCTCTATAAAAATACAGTATTTTAATTCTATTTACATGTTACAGATCTCTCACTTACCCAGCAAGCTGACATTTACAAGCTTCAAAAAAAAAAAAACCCCAACAACCCCAAAAAAACCATAATGGAGCACAACATTGGTAAGCACAGTAGCTGGACCCATCCGCCTAGGAGAGTAAAGGTAAGAAAAATGGAATGTGAAAAGTGTGGTTACTGGCTTTCGTTGGCTGTCAAAGTAAACGAAAATCCATCCAACATGTCTTATATGTTAAACATGGCAAAAAAAGTTTAAGTAAACTATTTTCAAGATAGACATTCTGCATCATAGGATCCTTCTGCTGAACAATCCCTGTAAAACCTGCTGAGTGCAAGAAGTGATCCTGAGGATAATTATTTGCTTGGTTGTCTTGAATGTTTATTTCCTGATAAACTCATTGTCCGTGACCTCTGCCTAAGCACTGGTTTTGGTGGGAGTTCCAAGTCTTCAAATACAGGATTTTCTATGATTGCTGCAGCCTCTGGTCTTTCAGTGGGACTCGGAGAGAGCATGTCCTTCACCATGGTGTACTAAAAAAAAAAAAAAAGACACATGCTACGTGAACCAATTCATAAATTCTTTCTTCTTTAATGTTCTGACTTCAAGTGTGGCTGTATGAACAAGTGGAAAATGTCCCCAGTTGCCTTCTGAGTAATTGGGGTATTAGTGCTTTGGCACAGTCATTAGAAGTGCATTAAACATTTGCAAATGTTTAATGTTACAAATTTATCATTGTGCATCCGTTAAACTGTCTTTACTGTCAAGGACTACAATCAATTTGGCAAATCAAATCCGACCCAAGATTCGATAGTTGTAAAACCTTTACATTAATTTGCAATCAAAAGAATTTTAAAACATATGAAATATAATTTATGAGTAATTTTGTGTCATGTTTAGACCACCATGTTTTAAGCCAAGCAGTAAATTTTCACAGTGAATTAAAGGTTTTCCTTTAAATATACAGGTAGACTGAATATTTGTCTCAAATTTAATCAGAATTACAGTGTCCTCCAACTGAGCACAGCACAGTTGCATTCCCCTGGGCAGCCTGCAGCTGTAAAGCAAGAAAGCCTAGTCTCATTTAGCTGCTGGCCTGAAGCTACCATGAAAACCTGAGAGCATCTCAGCTTTTTATTGGAGAGGTTTTGCACATCACCTCCTCTTTATCTGCAACCGTTACCACTTTAAAGATCTGACTAATAAGAACAGAGCACAATTTTCTCATATAGCTTCCCACTTGAGAGATCCAGTTCCTGGAGTGAGATCCCACACAGCCATGGTGCTACCTACAATCTCCCCTTTACCTGTCTAGAACTCTACATTTTCTCTTTGTGAATATGGATTTGTTACAAGAAGTCATGTCAGGATGCACGTGAAATTAATGACGTCAAGTGACAAAGGCAATATTGTATAGTTACGGGAGGTAAACTGTGTGGCAAAAACATCAGCGTCCATGTTACTGTAACATTATAGCTTTGAAATGTAGTAAAAAGTATATGGATACAGAAAGTGTGTCTTAACATGACAGCTACCTTTTTTTTTTTCCCACTTTTGCTTGCAAAGCAATTGGAAAGCAGAGAAAAAATTACAATCATTAAAGAAAAAGCTGCAACTAATAGCATCAGATATACTTACCTCTTGTGCATATTTCTGAGTGAACAATGGTGGAAACTTCAAATTTCTAACATCACTTAAGGTCTGCAAAAATATTAAGGAAAAAAAATGTAACTTTTCCAAAATACCATTCTTCAATAGTATTACTTTATTATTCTTCAAAAACATGCAAACAAATCAGCCTCATGGAAGAAAAAAAAAAAATTGGTTTAAAGTCTTCCTTCAGTGGTTAAAAAAAAAAATAAAAATCACAACATACTTAAATGGGCAAGTTGCTGCTTCCCTAGGTATACAGCCTGCACTAGGAACCATGTTACAAGAATTACAATCTTTGCAGTTTTAAATCGGCTAGATACACAAACTTGTACTTTCTCACTTTGGCTCAACAAATCCATGCACCACCCTTAATCCCCAAAATTACCTACATCAGTATTAAGACACATGAAATGACTGGCTCTGTCTTCACAACGTGAGCACTAGTCTTTAATGTTTACAGACTAACAAGCAGATTTATCAGCAGTTTTGAAAGCGGTTCATGTTGCTTATTTCTGTGTCCTTAGAAGGCAGTTGGTTTTCTTCAGCACTTCTTCCATAACGAGCACGTTGGCTCCATCTAGTGACAGTAATTTTCCCACGTTCAGGCACACAATTATTTGCAGCAGGCTGCCTTATGAATTTAAGTTCTGTGATTTCCAGCAACCCATGACCCACTTTAGCATGGTTTTACCACAGAAGTGTAATATTTAGCACAATTTCTTTTAAGAAGGACCTCCTTTTGACTAAGTTTGAGCACAAAATATAAGAATTCTAAAGTTAAAACAAAATTCAATTCATTATTACTCCACTGAATGTATAAACTGACCGGTTAATAGTGATGGGCAGCAGTGAAACTCCTGTTCAAGAGAACTGAATTTTATGACAATAAAATGCTTCAAGTGTTCCCTTTCTCTACCAATTCAGTCTGCATTCAGTGATCTGTTTTCAAACATCTAATTTGGAAATAAATTGTACTGCCACAGCGTAACTGCTACCAGCTTGAGACAGAGGCAGGTCACATAGTCCTCCTTGGGGAATTTTTCCAGCCCTTTAGCACAGATTCCTAGAATATGCTGGGCTACCTGGTCAGGCAGAGCACGTTTTGCTTCACCAAACAGTGCTACTGCTTGGCTGATGCCAAAACTGCAGTGTAACAATGCGGCAACAACAACTAAAGTAGAACTGGACAATAAAGAGGTGGGGAGAGTGGAATGACAGTGAAAATCATGGGAAGTTCGGGTACTCTATTTACCCTCTTATGGAGTAAACCATCAGAGTTAGAAGCAATTCAGGATTCACTCCAATTACTTGCTTTGCTACCATACTCAGGACAGAAACTGGAAGAGCAAAGCTTGTAGTCACTGCTGCAGGAGACCCTGAGAATCCAGGATAGCTCTTCATCAGTTATGTGTCTCAGTAAAACTGATTTTATTTAGGGAAACTGAAACTGGTTCCGGTGCAAGAAGTTAAAAGCACTGTCATTCCTCCTCTAGACTGCGCTCTCTTGTACCATGAAAATCTAGAGCATTTTAAGCAAGAGAGTGCAACACCAGCATAGGTGAAGCATTTGGTCAGGCTGCATTCATAGTGTGGTTCAAGCTGATTCTTACACCTCTGCTAAAAAAAAAAAAAAAAAAATCCATCTTCACATGAGACTTTAAATACCCCAAACACATAAATGTTAAATACAGGTTATAATGACTCCTTCTTTCCTGCATAGGTTACTGGTCATCATATACAAGAGGAAAAACCTTTCTGGCCATAGCCCCTGTTCTCTATGAGCTTGTTCCTGAGCAAGATGGATCTCACAGGCATTTTAACAGCAAGAAAGAGTTATTATACACCATCAAACCTCCAAAATCCACAGCTGATGTAATGAAAGTCATCAATTACTGGGAAGATTGTACTTGAAGCTGAGTGAGATTCACAGCTAAGACTTAACTATAGGAAAAGGAACAGCAATTTTTCAGTAAGTGCTTTGGGTGAAAAAGCGCTGCAGAAGCAAACAAAGGAAGAAATGATAAAAATGCACACCACGGTTCCAATTCTTGAATGAAAAACAAGCTGGCAGGCTTAAAGTCACAAGCTATATTTGTTGCTTGAGTTCTTGGATATCCTAGTTCAATAGTTTCTCTTACTTGGCTTGACAACAGAAGAGCTTTGTAAAGAAATTAAGTCCTCAATTCAACTGCAAACACTAGGAAGACTGCAATTTATTTTCAGTGATTCAGGGGGTCTGTACAAGGCTGATAAAGAAGTTGTGTTCCTAATTGCAATGCTTTTTCAAAACTGAAAAGAACCTCTTGCAAATGTTTCACCAAGCGAATAGCTATTTTAAACAAATGATTAAACTCAGGATAATCCAATACCATACATACCCTGACCCTCTCCATCTGTGTGCTGAAAGGGTAAAGCAGCTCAAAGAGAATCAGTCCCAAAGAAAAGATATCCACTTTGTGCGAATAGGTGTTTCCACAGATCTGAAAGTTCAAAATTAGGGTTAAGTCAATCAAGCTATTCACTGTATGTAATTATGCACAACATAAACAACCCCCTTTCAAGTCAACATATGGAAGCGATTAGCCCTGTGCAGAGCTGAAAACTACAGGACAGGCACATGGGCAAAATAAGCATGGGTGAGCAAGGTCCTGATCATCAGCTCCTCTCTGCAGACCCAGCTGTAATGTGAAATGTTTCAACTTAAACCTCAGACACAATAGTATGTCCTTGCTCAATTAACTTGAATATTATGCAGTTATCTTTCTACTACATTAAAAGCAAGATCAACGAATGCATCTAAGTACAAATCATTAGCCACTTTTTTGCTATATTAAACAGATATACTGAAATATAATTTTGAAATTCAATTTAGCTCAAAACTCTACTTTGATGAGAAAGAATTTAAGTAACTTGATTGCAACAATTTACTAGAAAGCGTGCCTGATCTTTGAGCTCCTGGGAATTCAGGTGTTTTCCAGGTACTGACAGATATAGCTTTAAAGAAACACAAACCTGTTCTGGGCTCATGTAGAGTTTGGTCCCTACTTGTCCTGTGTGCCTGGCATAAGCTGGCATTGGGGTAAGTACTGATTCTTCCTCCTCATCTTGGTCCATAGCAGTTACCAGTCCAAAATCCCCAACCTTTACTATGTCATCCATTGTGAAAAATATATTGGAAGGCTAAGAAAACAAACAGGTGAAAAGAAAAAAAAAGTAAATAATAAACAAGCATCTGTGTTTCAGCAGATACAACACTTCACTTTAACTCAGATAAGCCATGCTGTCAAGGCTAAAAAGGGTCGTTAAACATCACCTTAGCAGAACCAGCTAAGAATCTTAGCTGTTAGGGAAAAAGGAATTACTCCTGCATTAAATAGCCTCCTTTCCTGAAACTCAGACTGCTCATTTCTTGTCTTCCAGTAGTAGTTTATTAACACTACACAGGTCTGCTGAGTGACATACACAAAAATCAACAGCTGTGGGAACAGAACAGGTAAGTTGTCCAGCTCTCCATCACACGGCAAATTCACACCAGATGATGGAGTTTTGACTCTTAGTCTCTTTTAATCTAATCTCCAAGTGTTAAACTTGTTCACAATATTATTAACCAGCATGTAGCACGTCATCTTAATGTTAAATTATAGATACACTGGAGGCGTGGGAACAAGGTCTACTTTGCAGTTGGTACTGTGCAGGTTAACTGTGGGAACAGCTGTTTGTAACAATTTAAAAAAATATTTTTTCTGGAAGCTTAAGAACTTTGCAATTCACAAAAGCAGCAACAGTGATGATCTGGCTTGAGTCTCCTTTAGCTTGTTTGCCAGGTACCAGCATCTGTGGCTTAACCTATTGATAAAGGGGACTGGAACTGAGATGCCCCCTTGCTAATGGTACATATCTCAGATGGTTTCTCAAGAAACTTGGACTGTGGCTGATAGAATAGCACACGCCAAATGAACGATTATTTCTTTGAAACATGACTGCTCCACCTTGGTTACCAATAAAGACAGACACACAAATTTCTGGGGAAAGAACAGACTGCTTCTGCAAGGGGGAAGAAGCAGCAGGATTACTTCTGGGGAAAAGGCCAAGGTGTGGTAAAGAGGCAGGTGGTGCTGGGCAAGCTCCTCTCAGAGCTGCCGGACTTTCAAGGCTGGGAGAACATGGTCCTTGCTTTGTTGACATAAACCCTGGAACAGGAGGAGGCAGAGAAATACACAGCAATATTTTTCCACAAGATTAAAGAACTACAAAGCTGACCTATTTCAAAGTCCATCTGACTTCCTCAGTTAAAGACAAACCCACTCTGTGCAAGAGAGAAGCAAGAGAGAAAAAAGCCGCCTTGTTTCTTTTAAGCAATGAACAGCTCTGAGATAAGCACTACAGAAATAGTTAGACATAACTTGTTAGTTCCACAGTGCCCACATCCCACCTCTAAAGCTACCTTGTGAGACAGGTCTTATCTCTTACTATTATTTTCCTGTAACGAATGTCATGCCCTTTGCAGTCACAGCTCTTTTAGTACACAAAAGCTACTACCCTGTAAACCCATAGCGTCTCCAGGCTCTCTCTGAAGCATTTATACAGCACCCATCCTCTGACTGCACACCCACATTGTCAAAAATCTTTGTACCAGAATTTTAATGCTAATGGCACAGATATCTCCATTAGGGATTTGTGTCCCATTGCCTTGATCTCCATTCCCCTCTTCTTTCTCCCACAACCATTCCCCTCTTCTTCCTCCCACAAACGCACAAGAAGTCAACACAATCTGTCTTGCTTCACAGAGCAAAACTCCTAACAAAGTTTTATTTCTTGTACTTCTCTGGCTGAAAACAGACTGTGAACAGGCCAGCATATAGTTTATACAAATTAAGAATGGACTCTCTGCTATCGCAAACTGCCAGCAAAGATAAGCCATCAAGACCACATTTGCAAATAGGAAGTCTAAGGCACACAATTTTGATTTGTATCAGAAGAATACAACCACGCTCTATTTATCTTGCCACTTGCACAAAGAAATTTCTCTCCAAATTCTTCAGTCAGAATAAGAATTCCCATTTTTTCACAGATACAAATAAGCTACTCACATATCTGGAAGACTACTGTTTAATTCACTTAACGCTGCAAAACATAGCTAAGACTGTTCTTGCAGTTCTATGAAACTCAATTTCTTTTGAGCTGTCAAACATGACCAACAGCTTATCCTGGGAATAAGAGTAAATTCACTTGCAACACAGACTTCTGTTCTCGTACTTCATTTTCTTCAAAAGAATTTGAACTGTGACCTATGCACTTGCCTACCTAAATTCCTGCCATCTTGTCATTGGGGTATCTCTGATTAGTAGGAGCCTAATTAATGTATCTCAATGTACACTGTTAATTTGAATATTTAAAAGATCTCCTTGAATCTTTTAATACGCATGCATACAAATTTATTTTCACATAGGTCAATGAGATTTTTTTGGTGCCAATGGGAGCAAGAACTTGCCACTGCTATCAGCTAGCTCTGCCTCTAGTAAAGACAAAACAGCTTTACAGGATATTTGCTTAATAGTGCTGGCACAAATTTAGGGCTGCATGACCAATCTCTTGGCCAAATTAGAAAATTAGGTGAGATATGTTCCTAGGAGCTTCTTAAAACTACAAAAAAAAAATGTACTGCCTGTTGTTTTGCCCAATTTAACACATAACAGACAAATAAACCTCCAGGATCCAAGAATAATATCTATACGCACATGGGAAGTTTTCTGAAGCAGGAAGTTTTTCTTTCAGGGAGAGCCTCTTTAAGGCTTATACCAAGTAAACAAAATAAAATCTCTTGTTCTAATTGCTGCGAATATTGAACTTAAGATGTTCCCAACAAAATGCTACACAACTGCTGATTAAGACTAACAAAGCTCTTAAGTGAAGATCTGCATAAGCTTTAGTGAACAGTGATCTCAGTAAAGACTGCAGAATGTCACAACCATCAGTACTGTTAAGAAAGGTTGTTAATTAACAAGTCTAGCAACATATTAATACAGGGATTTAATTACTTTTCTGGTCAGTTTCTCAAGCACTAAAGATTTTTCAGATAATGGATTCAAGGCAATTACTTAATGCTGATGGGGAAAGAAAATACTTGGAAGGGTTTGTGATTTTTTCTAACTTTGACATATCCTTTCAGTGTTACTGAATTTGAATCCCCTTTTACTGCCACACCTGAGATGACATTTTTCTTCTTTTGTTTCTATTTATACCAAATGATTACCACCTGAGAAGCTACAACAACGGTTATAATCATTTCAATACTTACTCCACTGAGGTAGGTATTAATGCCTCCTCAAATAAGTGAAGAGAAACAGGAACTGCCTCTCCACGATTTGGCAAAAGCAATCAATTTCTCAGAGTTTATAACAGTAAAACTAACTTCAGCTGGGCTCTTTAATTAAATTATGGTATTTGGTAACACATACGGACACTTCCACATGCTAGAAGTTCCAGCAAGATTAGGCACTAAAGTAAGATCAGAAGCAAAATGAAAGAAGAGGTACAAAAAGTTACTCCTGACTTCAGGTACATTAAATGCCAGAGGTGAAAAACACCCTTCCTGATCTTAACTGGCTGTATGTTATCAGACATTAAAAAGATTATGAATTCTTCAGAAATCTGCATTATGCATTATGTATGAATTCTTCAGAAATCTGCATTATGATAGTTGGCACTGACTCAAAATTTAACTCCAGGCAGTTTACATTCCAGTCCTAGAGGAGCAATGCTTAATTTTCACTTTCTCTAACTAAGAGTAACACTGCTGGTTAAGAGCATTATTGCTACAGACAGAAGGAGGAAGATAACAGAATTAGAATCATAGAACGATTTAGGTTAGAAAAGACCATCAAGATCATCAAGTCCAACTGTAAACCTAACATTGCCAATTATTTGCTTCACTTTAAACAGTACAACATGATCCAAAATAGTGTTCTTTGCCACACAGCCCAGTAATGAAAAAGCCTGTATAAAAGAATCTGAATTAGAAATGCCGTAGAACAAATGCAGGTGATCTGTGCCAGCTACAAGAAGTCTTGCTGTGATACAAACTTTAATTGCATTAAAGAATGATTAATGTTTATTTCCTGGAGCACCGCACCTCCATATTATTGTACAGACACTAACTCAGCTTTTGTAACACCTATGCTGAGGTCACTGATAAGAGTCAACTATTTTAGCAGGACTTGTCTCCAATGCCATATTACTCCCACATACAAAAAATTTTACCTGTATCCACACACTCATGATCTGTCAGTTTAAAGGAGAACTTGACACTGAGCTGAACAGCCTGGCACTGCTGTATTAGGAGCAGTCAAATTTGGAACTGCCTACGCTCAAGTTTGTAATGAAGTGGAGGGACAGCTACCCTGTGATGCCATTTGAGTCAGCCCACGTGCTTCAGGAATTTCACAGCACCGGAGACTTCTGTATGATACTTTGGGCACAGATCATTCAAGTTATGATAGCTCCAAAGATAATCTCACAGTACTAAACCAGAAAACATTTGTGTATAGGACACAGCCAGTGAGATAACCAGTTACAACCAGAATTTGTAAACTTCAGACATTCAGTGATGACCGTGCCAATAAGCCAGTTACAACCAGAATTTGTAAACTTCTAAATAAACTGTAAACTTTTAAATAAATTTAAAAAACCAACAATTCCTGCAGTAACCTATGAATACAAACCTTGAGATCCCTGTGCATTAATCCTTTGCTATGCAGAAAGTCAACCGCTTCAGCTATCTGCAGAAATATCTGCAGACACTCTGTCCTTTCCCTCTCCTCTATCATGCATCTTCTGCTCATCCAGTCTTTAAGATTCTCTTTCCGGCAGAGTTGCATTTGGATGTAAAGATACACCTTTGGGGAGGTGGGCTTGACTTTTTCTGCAATATTTTTAGAAAGGTCCAGGCTTAAACTTGTTGGCCTTGGAGGAGAAACAGAGAGGGGACTTCCTGAAGCAGGTTTCTTGTTATCAGATTCCTTTGTACTTTTCGCCTTATCCTCAGGAAGGCTCTCATCACGCGAAACATCAACTTTATCTTCCTTACTAGAAGCATTTCCACAACCAGAATCCTCAAACACAATAGAAGAGGAGGTCCCTTCCCTCAGATGTACAACAGCAACAGGTGAAGAACAAATTTCCAAGGAGTGACCCAGCTTGTTATTGTTGATAGTACTGTCTTCTACATCACAGCCAGTAAGGACACTGTCCTGAAGGTTTAATAGTGGATCTTCTGACTGGTGTAAGTCTCTGTTGTCTGTGGCAGAAAATTCCAGAGGAGAAAACTGGCTTCCAGATGAATCGGACTGACCACAGGGTATTCCCACAGACCTTATCCTCTCTGATGAAGTGACTTCAATGTGCTCCTTTGTAGAGAATGGCTCTGTTCTGATCTTAAATGATGGGACGTCCATTGGACTGGGAGAACTGAGTGGCCAATCAGTGCTAGAAGAACAAAATTGGGAAATTAATACCACAGAACTTCATTCCACTAGAAATGCATTTTCAGAAGCCCGGGTTTTAACAACTGCTGTCTCTGAGAAGTGTCATATCATAACGGTAAATGACTACCCAAGTGTGGGAATCACTAACAACCAGGATTTAGCATCCGTGTTTTGTTTTTTTTTAATGAGGATAATGTTCTCTCATTGAGACAAGAGTGCTGATAAAGGAAAAATTACCAAGCTCTACTGCCTGGATTTCCAATGTGCAATCAGGCTCATCTTCAGCTTGAAAAAGTTCAGTCCTTTAGAACACGCATTGCAATGACTATTTAAAGTGCCTTGGAAGAATTACAGCTGTGAAAACGTTCATTTGATGCCTGAAATATAAAGGTCGCTATATTCTAAAAATTGTTAGGCATGTTAAGATGTTATTATGAGACCACTCAATAGTCTTGTATTAGGCCTCATTCTTTAAATAACATACACCCACTTTTTCCTTTCTCTTAACATCCTCTTACTCCTTTATCTAATTTTCCATTTTTAACCTACTTCTACTGAACTCTAGAAATCATCACTCTGATTATCCCTCATATATTGGTGCTGAAATAAATTCTTGAAGCAGTGGAGTACTGAATCAGTTCCACGTAAACCAAGACAACAAAGAGGAGGAAAGCAGTGGAAAGGAACAAAGAGGACAGAGATGCCAAAGTTCAAAATTGAATCCCAGTAGCAATGTTCCAACCACCCAAAGATTCAATTACAGAAGTTAAATTAAGAACCACAAGATGATCCCTAAGCTGAAAGGAGGACCTTAACACAACAGAGAACCCCAAAATTGAGAGATGGTGCGCACAACTGTGATATATTTGTACCTTGTTCAATTGAAAAGTTGACAGGCTAAGTTAATAACCATCTCTTTCCTACACAGACTCTCCATCTCCTGGATCATCTATCAGGTCTCCATTTCTGTTGATGTACAATTTCAAATTCAATTGTTAAACTCACAAGTTACCTTTCATCTTTTAACCACTGTTCATCCATCTTTTCCTGCCATCTCTCAGGTGGAGCTTCCAGCCACGCGTTGAAATACCGAACAATACCCGGATGCTCAAGTTTAGCTAATGCCTTGACTTCCCGCATCACCTTTTCACGAGCCAGCTCCCTACAATTTGGGGTGAGAACAACAGAGACATGGTCACATAAAGCAACAGCACAGTAGAGAAATTTCTGCAAAGGATTTTAATCAAAGCTAGCCCAGTATAAACCAGGCCAGTTGTACTCTCTTCACACCAAAAGACAGATGTATCTTAAATTCCCCAGAGTAACTCCTTTAGGTTAGAAGTGTGGAGGAGCAGTATGTGCTCATAACAGCTAAGTATTTAGTCATCCCTTTTCAAATAATTACAGCCAGCAAAACTGGGAAGAAAAGGTTCACCTTGTTCTCAACTGTTTACAGGGACAGAAAAGAGACCACTAAACAGCAATATTCTACAGGGATGTAGAAGACACTGACACAAAAGATGACAGTAATACTTTATTATTTCTTTTTTAGTTGGCATAATATAAGGAGACTGCGTAAAGACTATCTCCGTTCTATGGACAGGAAAGCAGGTAGACTGCTATCTTATCAAAGTAAATACTCTCTCTTCATAAGACTGTAACTGGACCAAGTTAAGTCAGGTGGTTTTATTTAATGGGTTAGAATATTGTCGGAAAAGAAGAATTTAGGCTACCTTCTGAACAAAACCTTTAATCTTAAATAGTCACGCTTATTTAACACATTCAAAAAAAATAGTAATTCTAGATTTCATAGCTTTACCCCCTCCCTCTACTGGCCTGCCTGTTGCTGTTCTAACTTGAGATTTCCAGAAGCAGTGTCTCCCATCTCCCACTAAAAGGAACTGCTGCAAGCTCTGTGTAGGGTAATTCAGCAGCAAGGCTTGACCACCTATGACTGAAAGAAAAGGTAGGGGTTGTGGGACCAGAAAATGAAACAAATGGAGTCAGAAAAGCTGGTGAGGGAGAGAAAAAAGAAGAGGTGGAGTAGGGAAGGTAAGGAGAGGAAGGAGAGAAGCAAATTAACAGTGCTACAAGTAACTGGTCCTGTTATCAAAGGCTCTATTCATCAAGGAAATCAAAGGAGTTTCCATGTAGCCGCAGCATCTTCACAAGGGTCCTGCTATGCAAGTATTTTAGCCAAGCAGGTCACCCTTCCGCTGTGATTACATATGCCAATTCTCAATGCCAAAACTAAGTCAGCCCCCCCATTAAAAAGTATGTCATTCATCCTAATGTAGTATCTGGGAAATCAGTTCAGGAACAGATGGTTCAGTGTAGGATGGGATCCCACCATTCATTCATTACTTCTACATCTCAATAAACTCATTCATTACCTGTTAGGTAAACGGATCCTTTTGATAGCATAGTTGCAGTCGTCCACTTTATTTCTGGCTTCAAAAACTACTCCAAAACCTCCACGACCCAGACACTGAATTGGTTCAAAATCTGTCAGGTATCTTGGAGGAGAAAGGTGTGAGGAAGGGACAGAAGAATGGAGGGAGGATAGAGGAGAACAATGTATTAATATAGAGAGAAAAATGCAGTCATTTCTGACTAAGTTAAATATTTCTCTGCAGGCAAAACATGTTGAATCACTTGACACATTTCTTATCTTTTCTCCCTGCTCACCCACTGAGGCAATCAGATGGTTACCTATTTATAAAATGGACAGTTGCCGATTATGCGTTTATTCGGCGTCTATCACAACCCAGCAAGATCCATTATGCATGCACATGACAAACTGAAGAAGTTTTTCAGAATATCAGGTTGCATGCTTACTGGATCATAAGTATGTAGCTAAGTTTTCATGCCTGAATTCGGTGGTGACAGCCAAGTATTTTCTAAATCATAATTTGCCTTTAGCCCCACCTAAAATAACTATTTCTGCAACTAGTCTTTCTAAGCATCCCTTCTGAAACATCACTGTTCTTAATTCTTACTACCTTTCTTATTTTTCCTCATTTTAAATCCTCCCATTCTTACTTTCAGCAAGTTACAAATGTAGAGGAAACGGTCACATTTTCTCCACAGTATCATGACATGCCCCTATACACCCTTCTGTCGTAACCAACTCCTTCATAACAGCAACAAAGGTTTGTTCCAAATATGGTCTGGTTATTCTGCAGAATATATAAAACATCATCTATTTCCATCTACAATTGCCTTTCTCTGCTTTAATCCATAAGCACAGAAACAGAGGGAGTAAACACTGATTAAGGCCTTCAAGAATCAATCTTTCATTTCACACATCAGGAGGAAATACGAGCACAACATTCCTAATCACAGGTATCCTGTAGACTCTCCGGGATTGCCTGGACTAATCATAACTGCAATCTCACATTGGTAATGGGGTGACAGGCTTCTTTGTGCCAGTTGCCCATTATCCCGCAAAGTCAGAGGACTAGGATTAAGGTAGGTAAGAACAAGTGAACACCTACTATTTCCTCCAGATAGCATTAGTTGTCACACTGACTAAAAAACTGTACGTGTTGTGTAGAACTGAGCTCACCTTGACACGTATCCAGAGTTCTTGACATCAGTCCAGCTGCTGTCTTTAACATCTCCACAAGTGGGCTCATATTTACTATCAGTCTGACACTGTGTTTCCGATTCCTTCCGCAGCTAACAAGGGTTACCAAAACAAAACAACAAAAAACAAACAAACAAATTTGACTCCTTAAGTACCTCAGATCAGTTTGTACCCCTAGATATGGCATTAAATAATTTCAGTGTAAATATCTCCAAAGACCTCAGATATGGTCAAAGCAGTCTAATCTGCTTGTTGAAGCAGTTAAGCAAGTTGTATATGGCAGCTGACAGTCTTCACAGATAGATTAAACAATAAATTTAGGCTTCTCATTTTGTTATCTCATTAGTTATTAACTTATAAATACCACTCATTGCAGACTCAAAAAAGAAAGAAAAGGCTAGAATAATACCTTCTGTATTTAGGATTCAGAAAAAAATACTTACTCTGCTGTAAGGATGGGGATGGAAAAGTTTGCGTACGATAAAAGTTGTGGCCACAATGCAAAATATAATAGTGCCAACAATTTCCTTCCACCAGTGAAGCAGAAGAACAGGATCTTTTTTGCGAATGTTCTTGTAATTCGTCTCATCAAAAAATCTAACAGTGATCTGAGTGCTACGTTTATTTCTCTCTCTCTTGTAGTAGGGTAAGTAATAACCATTATCTGTGTAGAAAAGACAAAGAGGGCATGTAGATAACTACAAAACAATTTTGCCTTCTCATTAATAGGTTTCCTCAACAGACACAGGGTATTTTTGTTTGCATGCCCCATGAATTTACTTATGTGCCATTTAAAAATCGGTTAATCAAGGTTGTGGACTCCACAGCAACTAGGTCTCCCATCAAAGTTCACCACTTCAGAAGGCCTGACCGCTGACAGCTTTAAACCAGAATATCTTCCATATGGAAAACTTTATACCGCCAGGCTGTCTCTAGCACCGTTAGCAAATTCTGAAAAAAATAATTCATAGGCTTTTTCCACTCAGATCAACTATCAGTGGCAGTACACTCAATACCTCTACAGTAGCAATTTCTGGCACTCTGAAGTGCTTTGTGTGGCACTAACTGTACATACACCACAACTCAAAAATCCTAGTTTGGGCAATAATTTTCTAGCTCATGAAATGTTAAAAAAACCACACATGTATTTAACATCAAACAAATAGCCCTTTATTGAATTTCACAGATAATAAATGGGTAAATCTGGCTATTTTAAGTATTTGAAAATTTGGAACTTCCACCTACCATATGGATACTGCAGAACTGAAAGTGCTCCATTACTGTACTCTTCATGAGAATACTTGTCATTGCTGAGACACTTATCAAACTCATCAGACCCCACCAACACTGGAGTCCTGGAAGGAGAATCTAAACATAGGAAAGACATGATTTTCTGAGCTGACTGTTGTAAAGATTCTGTTCTTTTATTAATTTAATGAGAACTCCAATTGCATAATTTTAGAAAATGTCTTTTGGTCCAGACCATGAGAACCAAAATAAATGCAAGGAAGCATTAAAAAGAGTATTTTAAGTTAACAGTTACTTAGCACCTCTCCCCCTTGCCAAAATACTAGTTTTGGACATGTCAATTCACTCATAGTTACACCACCGCAAAAAAACTTCTCCGTCTTTTTGTTGCAAAATTTGATTTAGAAGACCCAACATTTCATTATTAAAAAAGACCCTGTCAAATTCATACTAAAGGAAAGCAGACATCAAACATTTAATTAGAAAAAAATAAACGATTTATAAAGCACAGAGATAGGTCCTGAACTGATTTACAGCTAGAAACATTAGACTAGTTTGAAACGTACTGGAAATCAGAAAGATGTCCTGTCTTTTCAGAGCTAAGACAGTAAATGAAACTCTGAATTGTTACTTACGGATTAAAGGTTTCCATTTGATTTTGGGAAGAGGAATAATTGCATTATCATTCCTGGATTCCAGAGCCTTTGGGTTGGTTGGAAATTTCTCAGAAATTCTGACTGATGACTGAAGATACAACTGGCCCCTGTACATACCTAAGTAATAAACCCGACAGCATATTAGTCTTAAGATTGAGTTCTCTTCACCCCCAGAATAAAACTGCCCAGTTGAAATATGTGGTTAAAAACATTTTTGAAAATACTTCTTTATGTTCTGAGAATCTGAGATACTGACTGATTGCTAGGTTGGATGAATTCACGCAATATGTTCCGTCTGTTCTAGAAAGCAAGAGATCAGGTCATCTCATTTTCACCATTGGAGAGCTGTTGCTACAGAAAAATGTCAGCAATTTTTAAGAGCTATAAAGCAGCTTGGGCTTTGCACAGGTAAGACTTCTTTCAAACATCCTACCCTTGTTAATGCTGGTACAGGTTACTCCTCAACAGCTATTACCAGGAAGGCTGGAACAATCTGGCTTCTTCCTAAGTGTTCCTTTAACTGTGTAAGCACTAACAGGAAAGCTACACTGTGTAAAAACTTATAGAAAAAGGCTAAGACAAACAAAGTCTTCGAAAACCAAAGCATGTTTACCTCCCAGAGACAGACAGACAGCTGAGAGGAAGAAGGACCTGGGGCCACACCATTTCAAATTGTCACAAACTACATCAAATGAATTCTGACAGCTGGACAAAATCTTCGTCACAAAACCTTACCATGAAGACATTTCAGTTAAGTTACTGTAATCAGTGTAGAGGAAAAAGTGAATGTGACAAATTAGCAGGCTGGATGGAGATACTGCTTTTTGCTTACCAAGCAATGAGACTGCCTTGTTAGCTATAAATCTATCTTTGAAAGTTTCAAGACCTTCAATCATCTCCAATGTACTGAAATAACAAAGCAGTGAACATCTCAGAATCACAATAGAAAAGATTTATGGTTTTGAACTGTTTTGGTTTTGAAAAATGACCAAAGAAAAAATTTTCCATCTTTTGCCTATCACTGGCTAGGCTAAACAGTCATAGATATTAACTCTGCTGCAGCCAAAGGTACACTGTACCTTCTGTAATTGTCATAATTTCTAAGATGGGTACACAGAACTCTGACTTTGAAGGGCAACAGTAAAGATGATCTGAGCAGGCTAGGAAGAGATGAGAACACATCTCTACCTTTTGATAGTCTTTCAGGGATAAATATGTTAGTGAAGCCTCAATTTTGGGGCTTTATAAAGCAATGTGGGTTAAATTTAACAGCCTTGATTATGCAGAATATCAGACTGGATGTGTTACAGGTCCTCTTAACTGTAAACTACCAGTACAGAAAGATCTGCTTTACTACAACCTCAGAGAAAAGAGTAACGTTTACTACAGAAAATGCTGCAGTCGGTGTCTCACCCAGGTAGACGCTGGATTCTGTGGCTCCTCTGGCAGCTTCCACAAGATCTTCTTCATCTTCCAATACTTCATTGTTTGCAGTGTAACTTGTGTCATCAAACAGACTGATTGGAATTACTTTGCCATCCTTAACCAGCCACGCAGAAGCAATTGGAGTGCAAAACTGGAGAAGAGAGAGGTAACTGGAAAGTTAATGTTGTAATAACTAAATGTTATATAAGAATAATGCTAAACAATGTGCTTAAATTCCTTGTTTTAGTTTTTGTCACAGATGTAGCAGCTCAAAGTCAGAACTTCAATTAAAAAATTACAAGCAGATGTGTGCTTCTTTACAAAGACAGCACCTGAAACCCAAGACAAAAGACATCTATGATGCTGCAAAACTTCTACTTTTGTAACATTTAATATTCTGTCATTTCCCCTACCTGGTATTCCCATTCCAGATGTCCTCCTCGTTTGTTAAAAGCCATCACCTTCCAGTCAGCTACTGAGACCTTTATCACTGTATCTTTCATCATAGCTTCCTGCTCATCCACATCTGAAATAATTTTTGTTTCTTCTTTGTTCATATTTGATTTAAAATTGCTCTCAATATATCCCGCTCTAGTTTCAATATCTGGAACATAGCGCAGCTCAAAGTGACCAACGCTGAAATTCCACCTTTAAGAGAAAGAGCAAAACTTTGTAGAAACAACTTATATATTCCAAGGAAATCCCAAATCCTCCATACAGAAGATTCTTAAATGGAATTACCTACATTTGGCCCGTATTTTCCCAGTAAACTCTCAGATTGTCAGATGAACACAACTGTACCAGGAGGGGGAGCGCTAATCCAGAATACAAACCAAACCAGCTGAGAAATCTCATCCAACATGATGGGCAAGTTGATAAAACAGCTGGTGAAGTAGGGCTAATGGCATTAAAGGCTTAGTATATGGAGAGGGCAACTAAAATCATCAAGTAGTACAGCTGGGTCTCTTTAGGTACAAAAATGTTTCATAGATGATGAAAGCAACAAGTACAACGCATTTAGGAAGCGGCACTCTATACAAGACATATTTCTCTTCATTAGTAAAGAGGAATTTAATTTGCAACATCAGGTTTTTCAAGCGGGGAGAGGGACAATGCTATTTTTTTGTTTAAATCCCCCACACAAGCTAATGTAGAATCTCTTTGACAAGTACTTCATGAAACCAGCACTGCTCATGTCCCACAGGTTATCAGTAAAAAAAGACAACAGACCTGCTTGCAGTGAAAAACTCTTTAATTTTTGTAAAGCAACAAATTAGGGCAGAAACTGAAAATTATTTTCAGAAAGAGAAAGAATAATTCTTCTCTTATTTCCATGATACAGCCCAATGCTGTAAGGAAGATACAGAGCAGAAAGGATGCCATGTTTGTGTCTTGAACAGCAAGGAAGGGGGAATATATTTCTTGTACCCAAAGTTTCTGAGGGCCAGTCTGGAATCAACCAGGAGCCAAAACTGTCTCCTTAAAGAATTTACACCCCTATGGTAAAAGTTTGGTGTATTTTATAAATTCAGTTGATTTATTAAAAGCTTTTCTTTCTCTGGATTAAAAATACAGAGCTATCTTGTAAACTCCGTAGCAACAATACTGTGCCATCAGGAAAACACCTCTGTTTCTGACAACAAAGACAGGAGGATTCAGGTGCACAAGATGGTCATGCTATGCTTTTGAAAGATGTACAAAGGAAAAAGCATGTTCTTATGACACAGCTCTCCCTGCCAATACCAGTCTCCAAGAACCACAGAATCCAAGGTTTCTTTTTAAAGTCTTCTGACCTTTAAAGTCTTCTGATTAGCATCTATTCGAGTTCTAGTTAGGTTCTCTCTGATACACTACAGATGCATAAACTGTCAATCCTGCTGCAAACAGAAGAGGGAGCAGAGGAAGAGGGAATGACTAGTTCTCCACTAAACTGTTGGGCAGTTACTGTATCTGTGTATGGCAACCAGTCTTTTGAACCTGCGCTTTATGAAGTGTTTTGTTTGGTTCGTTGGGGTTTTTTTGTTTGTTCGGTTTTTTTGTGGAATGCATGTCTGTACTTTTACAGAAATCTTGATGTATTAAAACACCAACATGACAGCATTAGCAAAGTCCCACACTGACCCAGTTTCTACAGCTTGTTAAAAAAAAAGATCACCTTGTTATGAAACGAACAAAGTAGATTTAAGAGTGGGGCTTTTAAAAAAATAAGACTGAAGACAATATAAAATCAACTTAAAATGAAAGCTAAGATATCAAGGTCAAAAAAAAAACCAAAAAAACAGTGACAGTTACCATGAGTAGGTAAAGAACTTAAAAGTAACTCAGTAAGTCATAAGATGACTTTTAAATTGTCTCCTTTTGTACAAAAACCAACAGTTGGAATAAACATTAATGACACTTGCCTTGTACAGTAGAGCAGTGACAAACTCTTTCAAGGTATGGAAGGACAAGAAAAGTAATTTTCATTTGGTTTAGACAGAATAAATACGTTTAAATCTTTTCTGTCTAATCATCTATAAAACTGAAGTTCAAGACATTTTTCAAAAGCAGTGAAGGGCAAAGGGGTTAGATCCTAGCCAACAGTCTGGTTAACAATCTCAACTCCCTCATGCAATTCTTAGTCTAATGAGCGTAAGAAGAAGGTAAAATCCTCAAAATATTATGTATTAAGAACTTATCTCTATCAGATTGTTTCTGAACAATTGTTACACTTACTTTTCATTGCCACTGCGTGGTCCAACAGCACGGACTGTTTTCTGGGTTCGGTGTAATAGGAGTGTCTCTTCCTGTTCTGTTTCATCGTCATCCCACCGGCGACAGCCCATAGCTGAGCAGATGTACTTCACCTAATGGACAAAGCAAGAGAATCACACATGCTTCAAAGTTTTGAAGAGCTTCAAGACAAACAAATGTAATCAACAGCAATATTCAAAGCTAACAATCATTACAACACATTTTTGGCTCGCAGGAGATTTGGAGTTCTGTGATTTTAGATGCTCGACTTGAGGGATGTTGAAAAGCCTGGTTTAAGAGATAATGGCTTTTCAGAAATAGAATTTTCAACAGATTATAGTAAGTCTACAGTCTGAGCTACTTTGACTACCTTTTGACTATATTTTGCACATATTTCTACCTCTAACAGAAAGAAATCTTAGTGCTCTCTTTTCCCACTATTTGTGGTCATCAAAAGAACATTACTACAAGATCCACAGCATAATTCTGCTTTCATGCCATATTTGTCTCAGCATAACTCTATTAGCTTCAAATTAAGTACTATTGATCTATATAAAATAGCTCAGAGCCTTCCCACTTTGCCTCGTCAGCTATTAAAGGGGAAAGAAGACCTTATTTAACTCTCACAATCACACAGACTTTGCCAACAGTCCCAATCTCAAACAGAATTTGGATTATATGGGCAATTGTATTTTGAAAAGGGAGTTGAACACACTTTCAGGAAGTCTGAATTGACATCATACTGCCAAAGACAACAGACTGCCCAAACTCTTAATGAGGAAGAGTCAGGCACTATTTCCTATATGAGGCACTTTTGCTACTGTGAGCATAAACCAGAAATCAAAGCAGAAACTGAAATTTCCACTTCCTGAACACTGGGGGAGGAGCAGTCAGTTGGTGCACAACGCACTCTGCTATCAATGAAGAAATCAAAATGATCTCATGAACTTTTGTTTTGGGTCTATGCTCTTCATTACTGGTGATCACTCTACACCATGCCATAGAAGTGTTCTACATTAAAATGTATGGTCAGAATGAAAAAACAATTTTGCAGAAAAAAAAAACATTGGAAGTTTAAAATTTTTAAACTGAAACTATTTTTTTAAACTTGTTTTAAAATACACCAAGGTTTCTGATTTAGCAAATGTCTGTTCTTCACTAGACAACCTATCTACAGCCATTTTAATGACATCTGACATTAAAGAGGGGAAGAGGGATGTCAATTTTAGGACTTTGAATAATGCAATTAATTCCTGTGATTTTTATTAACCTTTTTTCTTCTGTGCTTTTTCAAAATATACAACTCCTAACCAATGGATTTCAGAAGAAAAGTACCTTCTGAACTAGTCAGATAGCTAGTAGTTTTCAACTTAACTTCTGCATATGACTTTAAAATGTAAGGAGAACTTCTTCTAAGAGATAGTAAACTGACAACAATTACAAGTCTTAAACTTTTGTATATGTTGAATGTTTTCCTTGTTTTCAACAAGTTATCCCTCATTAGTTGTGAAAAATCTGAAATGAGTTGTGAAAAAAGTGTGCCACCTAAAGCCTTCTTTCATATGCAGGAAGCTGAACAGCAAAGTCTACTTCAAGCAGAGCTACGTGATAAAGCTGAACTCCTCTCCCAGCTTGGTAGAAAGGGATCATCCCTCTTTCCCCCCCCCCTCACTCACCTCTGGTCAAACCCCCCTGTGCCTTCCCTTGTGCTGGCTCTGGCAGTCCCCGACCCCTTGTTGAGCTGGCTACAGCTAACCCAGCACAAAACTAATCCAATAAAAAGTGAACAGTTTTCTGTTGGGTTAGCAAACTGAATCAGCTTAGCAAAGGGTGCGACAAGTGTTAAAGGCAGCACAGGGGATAGAGCAGGAGCTCACAGGCAGGAGGAGACTGCAGTGAGGGGCTCAGCCATACCATCTAACTGCACCAGCCGTTTGCCTTACTCCAGGTCCACTGCATATGTTGCCCAAGAAACTCAGACTCTCCTCTTTTGCGCTGTGTGGTTGTATGCTTGAGCTGCACTGCAGTTTAAGTCTCACAAGTAACCTATTTGCAAGACAGTGCCAGAAATACACATACACAAGGCAACTTTTCAGGTTCTTACCTTCCCTGAGTATGAGCTCAACCCATAAGTCGTTAATGACTTTCCTCCAACTAGGACAACATCCTCGCCAAATTTGTAAGATGACTCCAGAAGAGATTCAACTGTGAAAGGAACTGCTTCCATGCTCTCTCGATCCCGATCCCACTGGAAAAGGTCCCCATCCAAGGAAGGGATTATCATCTTATTTCCAAATACCTAAAATAGAGTTGAAGGTTAGCTATCATTTAACCATGATTTTATCAAAACACATAGATCACAAATGGAAAAAGAAACACTGTATAAGCAAGTACCGTGCATTATATTCCAGTGTCCTATTTTATGGTTTCATACCCCAGCATCTAATTTTTCAAAGTCATACAGAAGACAGAAAAGTTTCAGGCATTCAAATCAAATCTGTATTTCACCATTCTAGTTAAAAAACTAACTGTGCAACGCTTCTTCCACTTTAAGCAAAACATTTTCAAGCTCAATCAGTTGATATGTTAGTATTAATCCAAACTGTAGACAATATGATACATGGAGAAGCATTCTTCAAGAGACAGTCACTGATTAAAGTGCAAGTGTTGCAGATTATTTGTGATAGTTTCAAGACAGTGGCGTTGTAGGTTAAGTTCTACTTCATTGTTGGTTTTTTTTCCAGAGCTAGTTTACTGCTAAACATAGTATCAGTCATTCTCTCTAAATCAGAAGACTGAATTCAGTTTTAAAAGAAAAGCTGAGGCTGTATGCGAACTCATTTACAATTAACGACTACTCCAGAATACCTATCCTCCTGTAAAGCAGAGAGAGCAATTATCATTGAGATCAGAGCTCACATTTCACCTTTGCCTTTCCAGACAGTTAAACCTAACTTCTCCTCACCAGAATTTCTTACATTTAAGTATACTGTTCCTTTAAAACTTGCCTGGCTTTTTCTTAAACACATCAAAAAAAAAAAAAAAGTCTTCACCAGGACACAGCCTTTCATCCATTAAACTGAGATCTTCAAGGAGATCCTAGTTCGGAAGTATGAGTCATTGTCAATGAGTACTAAGGGACTTATTAAGAAACTCATTATCAGCATGATAGACCATAACTAATACTGTGGAGCCACAGTGGCTGTGCCCATAAAGAACAGTGAGAAACTGTAATCCACATAATCTTAGCTTTTGAGGATATGGATTAACGTGGAAGATTTTAAGACTTTTTCAGAACCTCTGTCCACTTGGGCAGTATCCTACAACATAATTACAAGAAATTCATCTACCTTACATGTTAGGATTTAAAGACTACTTGTAATACATGTATATTAGTCACTTCAGACAAAATATTCCCGCTTAGACTCCGAGGCACAGATGTATATTATGAAGCCATACAAAAGATCCAGAAGGGTTCTGGTTATTATTTCTGGAACCACTGTGAGGATCTGAAACCACATCTTCTGCATGATTAAAATTCTCTCTAACATGAGACTTTTTATTGCTCTAACTGGGTCACAGACGAGCAAACAGCATTAAGCAAAGTTGGGATTCACCTAAACAGGGAGGGAAAGACAGATCTTGTAAATGAGCGTATGTCATGAGTAATACCTCTTCTTACACTGTTTGACACACCTGATTCAAAGAGAAAATTCAGGCAAGTTACCTGACAATGCTGGTGACTGTATTTAAGATCCCTAAAGGATCCAACACTGATGCTTTCTGGCTTTGAAAAGCCTCATGATGACTGACAATTAAAAAAACCTCCTCTCAGGAGCACAATGTGTAATTGAAGAGATGATAAAAATAAACCCCTGCGAGTAGCTGCAAAGTTCTTTACAAAGCAAAATGAGCTAAGTCCTTTCCCCCCCCAGGTATGTACCTTATGGCAAAAAAGGCCAAACATCCGGGAAGAGACACTGCACAACATCTGTGATGCACAAGAAATGTCACATTACAACCTACCACTGGGGAGGAAAAATACGTGCACACAGCTCTATACATACACTTACAGAAATAAACCAACAAAAAAGAAAAAAAAATTGTGTGGGGAGGGGTCATTTGTAAAAATCATCTGATCAGTGGAAAAACAAAGCAAACAAATAAGGTTTACATAAACGTTCATATTCAAGAGCAGCCTTGTGATCCTGAGAAACAAAAGCATGCAGATTTTGGAAAATACCTTTTTAAAAACAAAAGATGCCCGTGCCGAAGTTGCAGCTGTAACCATGCTGGAGTATCTTGCTAAAACATTCAACACAGATTATAAAATGTTTTTGCAATATATTCTTTCAGAAATACATAATAATTTTGATGACAACTTTTAGCCTGCGCAGCTATTACTTTGCATTAATAAATTGTCTGTAACGTTTCTTCCTGCAGGTGGTCCACATACCTGCAACTAGTTTGGAGGCCCATGCAATATGAGATATTCCATACAGCAAAGGTTCTTTTTATTAGCAGCTTTCCAAATATACAAAAGTCAAACCATCTCCTGTATCAGGGTTTCAGCACAGAGCCCAAGCCCAGCAAGCCCAGCCATCAGCTGACTTCAAGTCAGATCCTGAAGAAATTCTACTGGCCATAAGTCAGCTAAATTAATACACCATGGTCAAACTAGACATGTGCCAGTGGCAGCGAGACAGCCCCTTGCAAGTTCAGTCTTTCAGATACGCTTGCTAGAAGCCACAACTGCTATGGCTTTGTCACGGGCTGTGCTCAAAGGGCTGCAGACCATCCCATCAAGTGTGGGAAGAGAAGAGGCAGTGGTGCAAACTGCCTTGGAATCACTGCTGAGCAAGGGAGGCTCTCGGCAGGGAACTCTGCGAGCTTGGGGAACAGCGTGACACACCTCACCTTAAGTGTTTCCCTTGTCCTGGAGCAAGAGCTTCAGGGCCTGAGTAGGACATTTTCCACTAGCAAACAACAGGCAAAACGCTGGCCATTTGTGGGAACCACACACGCAAATTCCCAACACGCATGAAACTCACTCAGCAACATGCACTTGTATACTCTCTATATATGGGTCAAATCAGGTCATGGCTTGTATACCTTCCAAAATCCTGACAGTGGGGCACTGCCTGCTCATCTGTTAAAACTTCAGTCCCCATAATCTGATGAGATGGTTTCAGTCAGCTCTGCTGATCACCTGCCTGTGCTCCCAACCTTGAGGGCACCTACGGGAGCAGCACGTCCTGAGTGACATTGGGAGAAAAAGGCTGAGGAAGAACACAACTGCTGTTGGTGAACACGCCAGGAAAGGGAGTGCAGACAGCGGAAAGAGCTATTGCACTGAAGGACAATGCCAGAGTACAAGAAGATGGGGTTAAACTGACCATGAGTAAATGCAAGATACACATTTCAGTTACTAACCATCACAAAGGTCCTATTTCACAACAGAAACAGAAGAGAGGAAAAAAAAAATCACCTCCTTTTAATATACCTATAAATGGGATTACATGACATGGTGCTGACAAGGGACTGCACCGGATTACCACAAAGATCTCCTTTTATTAAAATAGCTTTATTTAAAGGATGGGGCAGGTATGCAGATGTGCATACTTGCCGGTTCCCACATACGCACATAACAAAAGGCATTTGTGGCCACTTGTGCTGACATCTTTTAAAAGAGCAGTTTAGCCAGAGGCTTTAGAAGAACATTAATAATAACTCCTATCCGAGTTATGCAGTTTATTCTCTAGTACACGAGAAGCAGCAAAGGGACTTTCCTTGAAAGTACTAGCAACTAGCATCGGCATGCAGCTCAGGTAAAGGAATGACATCACCCTGTATCTCAAAAGCATTACCTCATCTCCTAATCCAAGGAGTGAGTCACCCAGGCAGTCAGCTGCAAATCTCTTGGCACAGAAAATGTAGGTTACCACGATGCACTTACACATTCCTCTGATCTGTCAATGTAAATAGCTATTTGTTCAGCTTCACTGGTCAGCAATATGGCACATAATTGTTAAGTGGCTTGTCTTTCAGAAGTAACACTTAAAAAAAACCCCACATTAACTATCGAGCCCTAAATGAGACGCTGCTCTTTTGCTCATTAAGAGTTTGAAGCTGAAGTTCTCCATTGGCTCGGCGCGGGGTGCCGCAGCCCTATCAGCGGCGCTGGCTGCTCAATCTCCAGGCCGACGGGTGAGGTAATGCAGTTTCTAAAAAGCCTTCACAAAAAAGCAAAAAGGCATAACGATCCGAAATGGCATACGCTACCAGGGAATTTGCTGTCTAGACTCTTTACTGGAAAGGAGGGCACTGCACGCGAGGTTCCACGGCAGGTTGATCGGTGCAGGAAGAAAGCTGCTGATTTATAGCAGAAAAAAAAAAAAAAAGAAAGAAGGAAAGGAAAGGAAAAAAAAAGTGTAAACAGAGATCAAAACAAACTGAAGTACTAAAGCTTCCACGAGCTGTTTAATAGTAAGTGTGACATCCATTTCCCATGCCTAACACTCTATCATATGAAGCAAAAATCAAGCCTGCTCACATGCAGGCGCATCTGAGACAAGTCTGGTGCCAAAACAGTCAATATTATCATTTTCAGATGGGCTGTACTTTCCAGTGACTCCAAGGAAATAACTAAGCACAGGTAAAATATTTTCCTTAGAACAGGAAGTGTTATGTCTTTATATTTTTCTAACACTTCAGCTTGTGGTTTTCAAACCTTACTCTTATGATAAACTGCGAGAGCTTCATTCCAGTTACTAATTAATTAAGACTAACCTATATGATGTTAAATGATAAGGGTACCAATTTCCCCCCCCCTCTGATTATCTCTATAATAGGATCAATGTAACAAACAGCATCAAAGCCAACATCAGGCATGTTCTTAAGAAAGCTAATTCTCAGCGAGAACTGTCTTTTAAGCTCCTTTAAAACTAATCTAGGCAACGTATTAAAAGCCATATACAGCAGTTTCACTCTAAAGAGTAGAAACAAAAGTCTGCACAAAGAAAACTGAAAGATAAAGCAATCCTACCTTCCACATTTTTGAAGAAATGCATAGGCATACAGTAGTACACATATCCCTACTATAAATGTTTACAGATTTTTCAGGTGAGAGATAGATAGTTACACATACACACTGGGCAAGGTCTTGAGATGTCCCTAGTTCATGTTGGTCTGGAACTAATTTATTGTCAGCCCTTTTTTGATACACACGCAGGGAGGTATCTCAACAGATGCATTGGTTTATAACTTCTTTCCAATGTAAGAGGCTATTTCTCCCCTTCA